AATTTGTTCAAACAGATTAAAGTCGTTTGTTCTTTTTATTTTTAAAGGAAAAGTCTTAACGACATCCGACAGCCTGGGAAATTCCAGCTTTCCCTCTATTTCTTGTGATCTTTTTATTTTCCCAACATCGAATCCTATATTTAGATAAAAAAAAAAATGATTAATTTTAAACCTGTTATCTATAAGGACCTAGATTTTAGTTGCTCAGTTCAAGTGTAAAACTGTTATTAAGTTTGAACTAGCATAGCATAGCAGTGAATGATCATCCTTCAGAACATTTGATGTGCCTATTCGAAATCAGTAATGATTCTTTTCAAATCTGTCTTCTCTAAGTTCTTTGATTTTAGTTCCTCAGTGCAAGTTTTGACGCTGTAAAGACTCAACATGCAAGGAGTGATCATCCTTTAGAACATTGATATCATTTTGCGACCGAGCTTGTCAACTCCACAGGACCTTCGGGTATTGTTTAATTGTTTTGTTATTTTAATTTCAGGACATATCCACCATTTTTTTTTATTCAAGAACCTATCCACTTTAATTGCAATAACATTTATTTACATAGATTTACAAAATATAGGATTCTCCAAATCGGTACCATCTTTGAAGATGGATATGAACACCTGCTAGTGTTCGTTGAACACCTTTCCGGCGAAATGCCCTTCACGGTCAGAGATCAAACCACGGAAAGTGAGAATGTTTTACATGTAACTTGTTACGGTGTTACGGTTTGTAACAGGTAACGGGTTATAATCTGATAGACGTTGACATCCTCTTATTAAAAACAATAATAGATATTTTGTTCAATCAATAGAACAACTAACGATGTTTGTATTGGCCATTTTCCTATTTCTGGTTTGATAGTCCTGGGAATATTACTGAGTAGCTGCGACTTTCTATACCATTTAGAATTTATAGAAATTGCAATTCATCATTTAAAGAAAATAATACGGTCCTGAAAATAACATGAATGTGTCGAAAACGTAAAAAAATCAAACTCCATTCTCGCTTTAATTAGAAAATACATATTTCATTCCCATTTATAACATAATCATCCTACATATTTAATATATTAAAATAAAACATTAGAAAATTTTGCCAAGTGTTAAATGGTGCTAAATATCAAGTCTTCTTTAATTTCTGAGCTACAGGCTACACTTGACGATTCTCAAAATGGTAATCCAATTACACTTGAATATCAAACGTCACCGATATCATATATTTACCTTTAACGAATGAAACTTGATAAATTAAGAAATGTATCGTTAAGTGTTAAGTATTGGATTAATAAGGATAAGTTCCGAATTGTTGATTTGGGTTTTCAGACACAATCGACCATAAGAGGATTTGGTCAATCAGTTGGTCATTTGGTCAGTTTAATCTCTATAAGTACAGTCTAAATCTAACATCAAAGGGCGCCTCCTTCAGCAGTTTGTCTTTACCAGTAGCACTGATTTCAAATTATCAATAACTGAACTTATTGTATAAAAAAACATTTGAATAAAATAAGACAAAGGCATACTTAACAAAATAAAATATCAGAAAAACAAATTTCTATGACTAATTCCTCTATAGCAATTCAGTTTCTTCAAATTCAGGATATTCCATTCCAATTGATCTTATTTGGTTCTGGTTATTCATGTATTTCAGATATATGTATTTAAATGATGATAATAAAATTGAAGTGGGCTTGGGGTATTTTGTACAGTTTTGTACCGCAAGGATGTAGACGAAATATAACAAATTTACGACTAAAATTGTTCGTTAAATCTTAAGATAAACGGTGCCTGACGTCGTAAATGTTGATCAAAGATTGGTGGTTAATATTTATGTTTTATTCGAAAATGGGATAAATTATATATAGAGATATACGAAAAAGCTATGAATGGCATGAAAGTTAATTGTCTTTGCTTCGATATTTCAAAAGAACCCTTTGTGTGCCAACACATTCCAATCTAATTCCATTACGCCTGTTGTATGTTGATAATCGAGTAATTTTATTGGAGGTCTTGAAATTGGAAATTAAAGAACAAATTTGATATCCATAACAACTGTTAGAAAATAGTATTAAATGTAGGAATATTATTATTTTTCATAACAACATTCGATATGATGAATTAAAACGACTCTTTAACTAACTTGTCATTGTGTATTTAACTAATGGGACGGCCATATTGGTCTGATAATAATAGTGACACGAACTTCTGCCTTTATCAATTCAGTTTTAACTTAAAGATCTCTTGTTTAAATTTAATATCACATTGTTTAGAATATTGAACCATTAACCATTAGAATCTAGTTTTATGTAAGTATGATATTATTCATTCATTTATTGTTTCAGTAGAATTATTAAGAATTTTTATTGCTTTCTCATATATTAAATCGCCTGATTTTGATTTTGGTTTTTTAAATCCAGATTTTCAAATGTCAAACTAGTATTGTTTGTAAGAATCGGTTACAGCTAATGGTATAATGGATATTTAGCTTTTCAGGGGTTTAAATTAGTCACCAAATACATGTCCTAACTATTGTGTGCTTTCCAGTTACCCTACTATGTTTGTGGGATTTTGATAGCATCTTTAAATGTTGTCACACCGGTTTCTTGTTCCTGTAAAGCAGTATTTTATCTGGAAGCACAAAAACACACAGAAAGCCTTTTTAAAACGCGTGTGCGTTTCCTCTGATTATGTCTATTCGTATAGATTGTGACAGACATATTAGACGTCTGTACACAAATATAGTTTAACGATTAGACCTGACTTTATTAACGCTTAAAATCAAATTCACCGTCATTTAGGCTACTCACGATCTGCAGTTATTGATACTAAATCAACAGAAGGAAACGACGACTGAGTAACCAGATCAGATGAACAGATAATCTTGATGGAAGATCAGTCGAATGAAAATTAAACCAGAATACATTGTACCGTGTTTGATAACAATAAGATGAATAATAATTTAGCCGTGTTTAACAACATTTTAGACCTTCTTTCTCTGAAAATAGAAATGGTGGTCAATTTCAACTCCACTGGTATCGATCAATTGATAAAATATCAGTTTCAAATTTTGGTGAAAATCATTTGTGTTGTTCGAAACTTTTATGGAATTCTTCCACAAAATAGACAATCTAACAGCTTCTAGACGGTGTTAAATTCATACCACTTAAACTAAAATCGTTATCAGAATATCAGAATTGTCTGTTTTCAAAACCACATTTTGTCATTACCACTGAAGGTCATTAATACCTAGGCACCTACAATTATCTCTTATGGTTAGGTTCCAATTTTTTCGCCAATTTTATGATAATATGCTCGATAAGAGCTAAATATTACAATTGATATTAGGTTGGTAAAAAGAAAGTAGTAGCACGGAATGTTATTTGATAAATGATAGAATTAGAGTATAATTGATGATGAAGACTAGTTGAAGTAGGGAAATAACAGAATAGAGGAGATGTAATGAAGCAAATGTCTCCTCTTGAACAGTTAATATGATGATATTCCACGATCTACTTCTAACCTTCAAATATCTACTTGTCATTCATGACATCTTTTAATTATTTCACATTTAATATTAGTTTTCTTTCACTTTTAATTCCATATTTCATTTTATTAATAAACGTGTTCTGCTCTTGATTTTCTTTTTGCTTTAGAATCATTTGAAGTTTGGCAAAACAATTTAATTTTTTTCTTTGTTTAAAGGGCGCATGATAAAAATTACCGTCATGCATCAACATTTACAGCTTTCTAAAATGTACCTGAAAATGTGAGATGGAATCAAACTTGAGCATAAGTAAAGCACATAAGTTCCAGAGATGAAAAATATGTAAAAATTACATGCTTCATGTTTAGACAGAATATTAACTACTATCGTAGACTGTCGAAATCTGGTGAAAAATTTAGAAGAGTGAGCTTGATGAAAGATGAAATTGAACTATAGCTAGATTTGATTTCCCATTGTTGCTCTGAAACGTCTTTAAGTCCAACGTATCTGATTAAGATGAAGAAATTGAATTAGTTGAATTGGTATCAAGTGTAATATTAGTTGTTAAAAGTAGTTCAACATCCGAGTAAAGATGGTTTAGTATTTAGATGTAATGTTATTAAAGAAAGATAACTGGAGCTGTAGAGAGCTAGTTTGAGTGTGACTTCTCAGACTTGTAAGTGTTTGTGAAGTAGATATCGAGTGTTTCTGGACTTGTTTAAATCTACTCTATATCGCCTCTTATAGTCTGTTCCTATCTACATTAAGGTTTTAATCAAAAACTATTCATACACTTTTCAACTTTTATTTCATTCACTTCGTTAGCAAATATTACGCTACTTTGGCTAAAATGAAACGTGCCGTTTTGTAAAGAAATAAAGTATTGAAGTTAAAAATCTATCGATAGAATTTGATGGAAAACGACTCAGGGCTACACAAAAACCTCACAGACTGATAAAAGCTCTTCATTGATTCAACTTTACACGAGTAATTTACCGCTCGTTTACAATATCATTTTATCTCTCACTTTATTTTTCTTGTTTAAGGTCGTGTCTTTCTGATCGGGACACACCTGCTAATAAATCAATTATTCTAGGGGTGGTCCTATTATTCTCTTTTCTCCAATCAAATCATTCAGATAGAAAGGGGAGGATCTCCGTAACACTGATTGTCTTTTCAACCCGCCCACTTTTTCTCTTGGGACGTATCAGCTCTATTTGATGCTTGCTTATTATTGAAGAGACAATAACCTCGTAGCACACATGGATGATTCCTTTATGCAATCGGTGAGCTGGGTTTAAGAGGTATTTCAACCTCTGACAGAAACCACTCCAAACAGTTCGATCTTCGTTTTAACCAAGTTCAAATTATTCCAACCTCTCCAGATGGAAACTCAATTGGTCATGAACGGAGTACCCAAATCAACAAGTTTTTCTGTCAAAGACTTATTGGAGTTACCCGAGACCAAACTAAAAGGACACTGTGCGAGTCCAGGACTGGTGACAACTGATAGTAGTGTACCCTACTACGATTCTACTGATAATCCATACACAAGGTGGTTACAGACAAACGACCCACTACAGTATCAAAGTAAGATTATTATTAAATCTTCTAAACTAGAACACATTTCCTGTACTTCACTACTCATATCAATATTTTATCTTTTATTTTATCTTATTTGATATAACAATGATTTGATATCTTGGTGCAGCAAGGTAGAAAGGTTTCAGTCTTTTGTGAATTGGTACCATAGGGTTTGATAATCATGAAAAATGGCAACAGATTTCTTTGGGAAGGTAAGGTTGGCAAATTCTGATAGCAATGATGTTTCACATGTCACCATTGCTGAGGTGATGTTCTTGAAGTTCATCTGATGGAAATGGCGTTGACGATAACTGTTATTGTTTTCTTTTGAGTTTTTTGCCTGAAAAAATGGCCAAAGATCATTTTACGATATACATTCAAATCAGAAAGTTCAATTTTCGCTAAAGATTGGATTAGCTCTTGTAATGTTTCTGTTTGTTTCGGTGTTCTTATGGACAGAAATAGATTTGTTTAAATGGTTTATAAGTAATATTTTTTTTACGAATTTTAATATCCACTCTGCGTTTTATTGTAACTTCTTTATTAGTTCAACGTTTTATTTCCATGTTTTCTGTAACTGCTTTATATTCACAACTGATTTGGTCGTTAGTCACTTGACAAATAATCTTATCAGTAATCTTTCAACTGTTGTTCTGGAAATAAAAACTATATTAAAACCAATTACAACTGACGTTTAGAGGAACTCATATTAAAATTTGTCAAAATCAACGACAAGAAAGTCTTCTGATGCCTGAATCATCCAAAAATATCCTCCATTCATAATGGCTTTTTATCTTAGTTTATATTCGAATTATAAAATCATCATAAAATATTTAGATAAAATAAAATGATATTTATATAGCGTCTGATCGATAGGTTCTTGACAATATTTTTATAAACCCGTTCTCCTCTTTTATTATATTCAAACTCTTCATTTTAAATTTCTATCTATTCACAGTGGTTTTTATTATTAAAATTATTCACCATTCGAATGTTATGTCTGATTTGTAAATAACAAGAAGTTAAATTCAAGATTATACGATTTACATTTTTATATTTCCAAAGAGCATTTTCTAGTTTGAAAATTCTAATATTAATTTTATACCAGTATCTAACTTATAATTTTGAATGTAGATATAAGATACATGATAACAGTATAAATAATTTTTATGTTATATCTGAATTGTTATGCTAAAAAGAGTTTTTGAGGGTTTTACGATCGTTGATTCTATATTTAAAAAACGGTTTTTGACTTTTATGTACAGTCATATAGCCTTCAAATTGTTAATGTTTATTTGAGTGTCCTGAACGAATTTAAATTCATATGTTCTGAATTTAATATCGCGATGTGTAGATTTCAGGTATCTATCATTTCAATATATTTTTTGAATTCCGGATGCGACTCAGTTTGTGAGCATCGATTTTGAGTTCATCCTTGTGATTTCTTTGATAATAAGAAAGTTAACTGGAACTTATATTCCAAATTTAGATTGTAAATTCAAATATTAGATTAACGTTCACGCAATTTCATTATGATTTGAATGTGAATTTATCCTGCATTAATAAATTTAGGACTATACTATAAAAAATAAAGTTTTTCACTGTTTTGATAGTGCTCAATGCAGTAATTTCAGAGCAATATAGAAATAATAAATCTGAATCTGAGGTACTCAAAGTTACAACAAAATTCAAATTCTGTGTTATTTTTTTTAACACTAATTGTCAATGAAATATCTTGTTACATGAAAAAAAAACTAGATCTTCTTAGGCTAATTATTTTTCTAGAATTGTGAAAAATTGATTTCCACTTGCAAATGCCACGTCAAAAGGATACTATGCAATTATCCCACTGCAATTAAAAACAACATTATTTTTATATTTTGATAGGGCAGTTATTTTTATTGAGTTTTCATATTGTGAAAATATTTTGAAATCAAATTATTATTTCAATATGAAAATAGTGAATTGAATATTTTCCCAATCTATTCATTATTTGAATAATAAGAATTTAAAATAAATATTAAATTCTGTTTGGATTTTCTCAAGAAAATTTAACGAGTTGGTACTAAATAATGCCATCCTTGAATAAAAACAAACCATGTATATGCATCAATTTAAATTGAAGATCTCTCCTGCATATATCATTGTTTCGGAATGGATTTAAGTTGTAATTTTATAATCAATTGTATTATTTATGTTTTCTTAGTCGATAATGAGAAATAAAAAAATTTCTTTGAGCTTGTTAAAATATTTAGCGAGTTTAAGTCATTGAGCTGCTTCTTGTAAACTCAATACATTTCAGTCAAGTTTTCCCTTTTGGACAGACAATGCTTCAATCAAAATCATGAGACATACCTTTTTATATGTAAATATAAATAGGAATTTACTAATTATGTATCTTTAAATACTGATTTGGTCTTACTTCGGTTGGGACTTCCGAAAACTCATATTGTGGTCTTGTAGCATTATTTCGACTTTTGTGTCGTAAAGAATTCTGGAGGAAACGTCATACCGCAAATACCGAACAGAAAATTCTTATACTTTCGAATACCTGATTTCTATAAAATGATGCCAAAAATCCGAGTCCGGTGGTATCTTTAAGCTGTCTATTGACTAAAGAGATTGGTAAATATCTGAAGAGGAATCAAGTATCAGGAATCAGGCATTCTTGACATATTGATACCATAATAAACCATTATTATTCTACCTGATACAAGTCTTCTTAATCTGAATCGATTACTTTAATTCAATAATTACTAGTAGTCTTACAACTAGACAAATACCTTCATGTACGATCTTTTCTATTTTCTTTAATGTTGACTCCTTGCAAAATAAATGAGCCCAATCGTAAAAAAAAATGATAAAATAATATCGTTTGCAGCTCGAACGTACAAATTGCGTTTTTTGTTACGAATGTTTCAGCTTTTTAAGAATTATTGTCTTTTTTTTTCTTTTACATCTTCTGGCCATTCTCGCTCATTACAGGTTTATATATTCAAATTATTGTTCGGTCAGCAAATAAATTGTTTTATCTTGGCACTTTTTTAGGAAATATTTAAACAGTGGAAGAATCAACTGAAATTATAATTTATTTACAGACTTAAAAGTAATAAAATTGAACGTAATTATTATAAAATTAGCCCCGAGGTCTCTTAGTTAATGTAAAATAGACAGACAATGATAATAATATTTCATAGTAAATTAATAAGAACCGTGGGTTTACTTTTGGCGTTAACACCGTAACTTATAAAAGATCGCCACTCGAAAACCACTTTTAAAGGTTATAAAAACACACGGCAAATATGATTTAAAGTTATTATAAGACCAAGGTCTCATGTACAACTGATATTCTTTTCAATAATGTATAGTATTTTTTCATAGGAAAGTAGTATGTTGTTTATTTATTAATGTTGGAATATATATATACACACATATAATTATTATACATACATATAGTAAGGCTAAATATTTGATCCACCTTTAGTTGATTTTGATAATATTCAATGAATAGAATTGTAATATTCAAGTATGGAATAATAAAAAAGGTGAAAGTATACACATCGACCATTCAGGCGTGTATTAACTTTAAGAAATCTTCCACTTCACCCCAAATAAGTATTTAGAGTCTTACAATGTTAATCTTATTCAGTCCCATTTATTCAAGAAAAGTATTCTTCTTAATGTGAAGATGAATAGTGTATTGGGTCTAGTGTCCGGTCGTTATTTCTTTACAACCACCTTTTAACTGGAAAATCTTTTATTATGATTATTAACATTGAAAACAGTCTTAGTTAGACTAGGGAAAATATATTTTATCGTTGAATTGAGAGCTCGTTTTATTACTTTTCTTTATGATTGAAATATAATTGTTATAGTTGAGTGAATTATATTTCTATCGTATTTCATATCCGTTTTAGTAGAATATATCAAGTATAAATTAGTAGAGAATAATATATTCTATGTCGAATTATTGCTGTTTCATGTTTTTATGTTTTTAGTTATAGCAATCATATAAAAAGGTATGCTTATAAACATAGATACGTTAATAGGTAAATGTCCGACAAAACGCTGACTTTCATCATTTGTGAATCACTTAGATTTGTTTTGAAATAAATTTCATTATTAGAAGATATTTTCTGAATATTACAAACGATTGTACAGTTTAACATTTGAAAAGTGCAATTTGAAAGGAAAAGTTGTGTAATCCATGCAACCGACATATCTTGTCCATGTTTCTTTTAGCTAAACTTCCATTACGAATAATATTGGATCACATAAAAGGCGACAAATTTAAATATAAAAATTGAAAAAAATCTGTCCAAGAAAAGGAAGACTTTTGTCATCCAAATCCATGAACGTGACTCGTTTTTTCACCATACCATACAATAAAGAACAGTTTATTTGAAAACAATGCATTTCTGTTAAAACTTTACTAAATTGGGTTAACAACGAACACAGGCTTGCAGTACTACCAATTTATCAATTATTCTTGATGTATTTTGACCATGAAATAAATAAAATAACAGCAGATTGCAAATAGGTCAGAAATCAGTGTTATAATAGAGAATGTTTAATGGTAAATAGTTATTGAACCAGTATAGGAATATCAATAAATAGTTAATAAACGGTAAATAATGTGTTATTTGATATCTGTATTTATTATTGATTTTACTGTTTATTAATCAGATTATAGTTGTGTATGTCAACTTTTACTATAAAAATTATTAATAATCGATATCATTTAATTTAGACTTCAAATTAAAGGCTTTTTAAAAATATTTCTGTATGATTATTTGTACTATTATTAGCCATGTGATCTTGGCGAAAAATTGATCCACCAATCTCGATTTCAAAATCACAGAATTATGTCAAAGTGAAAGTTTCAAAATAATTTAGGCCTATGCTGCGCCATGCTTTTAATAATGATTCGCATTCATATAGAATTTTTTTTTAAAACCTACTTGAAGTAAAAATCACAGTAAGACTATGTTGTAACAATTTATACTTTTTGTATTTGCAGGCAGTGGAAGAAATATGTCAGTGATGAATTCCAGACCAATTAGCAGTCCGCAAGATGAGGACAGTTCTAAACATGATAGTTTGAGTCACCCCACCTCCCCAGATGGAAGTATTGACTCCCTCAAGATGGACGATGAGGACATTGATCTGGATGAGAAAGATAAATCAGGAACAGAAGGTACACCAAACGGCGAACAAACAAAAAAGAGTCGAAAAAGACGCGTGTTATTCTCAAAAGCTCAGACATATGAACTTGAACGACGATTTCGACAGCAGAGATATTTGTCTGCCCCTGAACGAGAACATTTAGCTAGTATTATCAGACTGACGCCTGTACAAGTCAAAATCTGGTTCCAAAATCATAGATATAAATTAAAACGTGCGCGACAAGAAAAGGGTTTGACAGATTTGAATCCTTTACCTTCTCCCAGAAGAGTTGCTGTCCCTGTTCTAGTGAAAGATGGTATCCCATGTCAACGTAGTAGTGTCAATTCGTCCCTTATGAAATCTCAGGATCATTTACAAATGCAATCTAATCTGAACGGTATGAACATGCCAATGAACAATGGATTAGGTGTGAACTCTCTAGGAATGAACTCTATGAACGGTTATCCGTCCCATATGGCCAGTGCTGGTGGTGGTATTAGTTCCACGTTATCTAATTCTATGAACATGAATATGAACATGAGCTGTGCGTACAGTATGAGCTCTATGGGATCTATGAACTCTATGAACCTAAATGTACCCAATGTTAATAATATGAATGTGTTGCCTAGTTACAGTCATCCCTTAATGCAGCCTCAAACGAGATGGTGGTAGTAATGTGATTTGTTTTTGTTGTGCCTTAATCTAGTGATTATTTGTTAAATTTGTGAAACAAATTGTGTGCTTGAAACGGGAGCCCGAAACGAGAATTCAAAACATTGACATTCAAATGACCAAATTAGTCATTTTTGTAGTTTATTGTTTAAAGTTAATCGTTTGAACATAGAAACATGCATTTATATGAAACCTAAAACGAGAAAGTTAATATTCATTCTTATCAATCATTGCTTAAGTGAGTTTTGTGAGTATTTAATTGTAAGTTGGTGCAATTATAAAGCCATATTCCATATTAATTTATTAATGACTGCATTTAATTTATAAATTCATTTACATATGTTTGATAAACCTAATTTGTCTATAATTAGCATAATTGCAGCATGTTTCCATTGGTATTTCCAACACTATTTGTAATAGTTCCATTTTAAAAACATAGCTTTGCTCAACTTTACAGCGCATTCATCTTCATCGTTGTTATTCTAATTTTGCTCACGACATTTTTTAAATGATGATGTGTTCACATCAATTTAAATATACTGTTATATTGAACAACTAATTTTCTGTACATTCCATTACCATCATTCATAAAGACGTTGTTTTATTGTCGCATTTTGTTTTCTATAATATTATTATTATGGTTGTAAAATCATTTTACCACTATACGATGTTTTATTTCATTATTGTTTCAAATAAATTGTGTATATTTATTACTTTCAAAAGATTCGTTTCCTTTTTTTTAACCATTTCCGCTCTTTCTAGAAAACAATACTTCTTAATCGATCACAGCTAATTTGTAAAATATTATAGAATTCATAGTAAATTGGTGACGCAAGCAGATTTCTAAGATGGCAATATAATATGTCCCATTACATTTAATGTAATTTGACCAATCGGTTGTAAAAAGATATTTATTGGATTATATAAATTCGCCAATCGAACGCTGACGTTGCATCATTGTAATAGTTTTTGAGGTATGATGGCCTAAATGATAATTAAAGCGTAAGAAGTGTTAGATGTATTCTCGTGGTGTCCTGACCTAAGATGTTACTGATATTGGACAATAGAAAGATATATGATCCAAGATAATAATACTGATTTATAATATCAGTTATTAATCATATTCAATATGGCTCCTAAATACTGAAACCCTATCTAATTATCTACCGTTACCTGTCATCTTATAACTTGATAACTTGACAGCTACGTGGTCTTGTATCAGATTGAATGCATTTTGTCCCATCTCATCATGATATATGTTAATTTATGCAAAGTTATAAATACCCAAAGTCAATATTGGCCTGAAATAAAGACTATAAATGCATATATCTTACATGTCATATTATGCATTTGCGTAAAATTATTAATACATAAGTAAATAAGGTGCAAGATTGATTACAAATCTCATTTCAGTCTTAGCAGTGCTTCTATGTACTCTAGGTAACCCCAACATATTAATTTCTATGATATGAAACTGCAATACAGTTGCCTAAGCTTGTCTGTTAAATCGAGCCAAGTCTACAGATTTTCAAAAATAGCTCGTATTTCTGATGAACAGAAAACGGAACACTTTTACCGTTGCGTCCAACTTGCAAAATGACAGTAGTATATGAGTTTGAGTTTGTCAATAATGATCCACCATGCATCGTTCGACCATTTGCAACACACATACAGCAAGACATTTGACAGATGTTGCAAGCTGATTAATAGGGTCATTTCAATCACCTAGGTCATATATTTCATTTCCACTTCAAAATTCAGAAGATACAGTATTTATAAACGATTCGTAGACCTAAAAAGTGGCGCTTACGTTCTTGAATTGATGGGTTTCTATTTGTTTAACATAACATAAAGATTAGATCTAATGACTGAAATTAAAAAAGTAAAACATTTTCTATTGTTAATAATTAAAGATAATATTAAAATAGTTATAATACTGTCCATGCGGGTGATTTCATGCCGAGTTGAAATTGTTCAAATGTTTACAGTAATACAAAGCTTAAATAATGAGAAAAGGTCTTCTATTGTTACAGATCGAATAGAATACAGATCATTCTGACCACCCGCATTAAACTGTTCATAGTGGTCATCATCATGTATGTTGAATTAACAACGTACCATAGATACTGGATAATAAGTTTCAGTAAAGGTTAACATCTTAAAACATTTTACAAAGGGGTGGATATATGTAGGCATATATATGAAAAAAAGGAGAATCAAAACAAAAGCGTAGAGATGATAAAATCTTTACCAAACCATACTATGTATAAATACATTACTGATACACTCTAAGTAGGGCTTTTTTAAAGTGGTACATCACCATTTAGCCAAATCATAGATCGACCAGCCTTCTGTAAGCCGACTAGGGGAAAAAAGATTTTTTCTTAAAAAGTGCTGGGATCTATATCTAGATATAAGCATTTCAATATATGTTCAGTAACCATATATGTACACCAATATACCTGATAGAGGCGTTGTTATATATTTTGAGAAGGTAGAAACAGGCATTCCAATATATTTCAGTAACCAGTTACAACTATTTCAATATATTTTAATAACCAGTTATTCCAATGTATTCAAAGTAAGCAGTAACAGACATATCAATATCTTCAAAGTAACCAGTTACAGGTATTCCAATATATTCAAAGTAATCAGTTACAGGCATTCCAATACATTTTCAGTTACCAGATACAGGCATTCCAATATATTTTCAGTTACCAGATACAGGCATTACAATATACTTTAAGTTACCAGGTACAGGCATTCCGGTATATTTTCAGTTACCAGCTGATACAGGCATTCCAGTATATTTTCAGTTACAAGATACAGGCATTCCAATATATTTTTAGTTACCAGATACAGGAATTCAATATATTTTAGTTACCAGGTACAGACATTGCAATACAATTTAAGTTACCAGGTACAGGCATTCCAATATATTTTCAGTTACCAGATACAGGCATTCCAATATATTTTCAGTTACAAGATACAGGCATTCCAATATATTTTTAGTTACCAGATACAGGCATTCAGTATATTTTAGTTACCAGGTACAGACATTCCAATATAATTTTAGTTACCAGGTACAGGCATTCCAATATATTTTCAGTTACAAGATACAGGCATTCCAATATATTTTTAGTTGCCAGATACAGGCATTCAGTATATTTTAGTTACCAGGTACAGACATTGCGATATAATTTAAGTTACCAGGTACAGGCATTCCAGTATATTTTCAGTTACCAGATACAGACATTTCAGTATATTTTCAGTTACCAGATAAAGGCAGTACAATATAATTTTAGTTACCAGGTACAGACATTCCAATATATTTTCAGTTACCAGATTAAGGTATTACAATATAATTTAAGTTCCCAGTTACAGGCATTCCAGTATATTTTCATTAATTAGATGCGGGCTGATCGATAAATCCTATAATTCGGATAATGATGGGATGTGTGTAATTTTGGAAATAGTTTCTCATTAAACAATGCTAAAGACACCAGGCTTTCCAAAAAGTTGCGCATACACATCCTTACGAACAACAGCTAGCCCCACAGCCACGTTCTAGTATAAGCGTCCTTCAGAACAAACATCATGAATTTCTGGAGTTCTAAAAGTTCTAAATGCGTACGTTTGTTTGATTTCCATTTATTTCATCTGGAAAATAGGGCTTCAAATGATCTTCCGAAACAAAGATTGACCATTGAATATAGTTGAATTTGAATTTACGAAAAAAAATTTAAGAACATACACAGAATGGATATTGGAAGGATATGGCGAGGTCTTGTATCACAGACTGAAGTTTCCGTTCCATAATAAAGATAAGATAAGCTAACAATACAACAGATTGTTGAGTATTAATATTAATCTATTAAAGGGTTATCATTATTATCATAAAGCTTGATAAATCATCATATTGCTTGTCAGATAAAATATAGCATTAATAATTTTCTTGTCTGTAAACCCATCAAAATATTGCAAGGTAATGGAGTCTGAAGACTGAAAAACTAAATCGAAGTTATAATCGCAGATCAGAAATTACATTCCATGTTCTTTCTTCACAACCCCAACATTACTAGTTAGCAGCAATTTTCAAAATTCGTCAATATTAGCTACTTTTGTGTAGATCATATTAATTACAAAATCGGTGACAAAAATTGGGATTGGTTTACAGGTTGCAAAGCATATATTACAGTCATTGATGAAGGAGCATTTGATATATAGACAGCTTTATTATACCAATGCATGCTGCCCGTGTGAGAATCAAAGAGTTGATTCGCTATGTATTGATCAATGTAGATATTATATATTATAAATTGGATTTAGATTTTGACCAATGTAAATATGAATTATGTGGATTCTGTGGATGTGCTACTAAGATGACAAACACAATCACAGAATGGTATCAGGATTTCGACTAAAGTAAAACAGAATAAACAAGTTTTGGAGTTGGACTCCTTAAAGATTATAGATTGAAAAATGAACTTGTTTTCTATGTTGAAACATTGACCTATTAATTTTTGATGGAAGTAGAAAGGCAGCAGTTAACAATGGCTCTCAATATCAACAGTTACTGACTTTCTGTTAACAAGAATTACCTTGTGGCAATTATTCTCCACCATTAAAACACTGGCTTCTCACTGTGATTAATT